GGGACCGCCGCGGCCTGGTCGCTCAGGCTCGGACGCCGCGTCGGGTGGGCTGGGGGTGGGTGAGCCCGCTGCGGCCTTGGGAGGGCCAGATGGGTCGCAGGCAGAGAGCCTGGGGAAGGGCGGCGGCTGGGCCGAACCTGCTGGGCCGCGTCCGGTTCTGCGCAGGGCCCATGTGCGACCGAGCCCCGTGGGTGCCGAGAACCTCCAGTTTCCTGCTGCGAACCCTGTATTTCTTACCTGAATCCCTTTCTCTGTAGCCCGAGTCCCCGACCCCCTGAGAGTCCCATATTTCCGGCCTGATCCCCATCTTCTGCAGCCTGAACCCCGTATTTCCGGCCTGATCTCCTCTTTCGCAGCCTCAATCCCGAGTTCTCTGCCTAATCTTCGCCCTTTTTGCAGCCTGGACCTGTGTCCTTTCTGAGATCCCGAATTTTCTGCTGGAAGCTCCGTATTAACCCAGTTTTCCCACCTCAGCAGTGTGAACCCATTTCTTACTCGACACCCTCCCTCCCCCCTTCGCATGAAATGCAAATTTCTTGCTTGGTATCCCATCTCTGCAGCCTGAACCTGTGTCCTTGCTGAGAACTCAGAATTCCCTGCATGGAAATTCTGTGCATACTGAACCCGTTTCTTTCTTTTGGGACTCCCTCTTGCAGTTCAAACCCAAAATCCTGCTCGAACCCTATCCCTTGTGAACCTAGAGTTTCGTGTAGAGTCCCAGTAGCCCTATACCTCTTATAGCTTGACCTGTTATTGCCGCAAACACTATTTCCTGTTGAACTCCAGTTTCTGCAGCGTGGATCTCAGTTCCTTATGTGAACCCCATCTTTGCTTCCTGTATTGCTCCCCTTCTGTGAACCTAGTCCCTACTGCAAACTCCTTGCTCCTGCCTGATTCTTCTTGAACCTCCTCCCTTGCTATGAACCCAATATTTGCTGCACAAACCTTCTGGTACCTGAGCCCCATCTTTTGTTTTCTGATTTCCCATACCTGCTTAGAAGTCCTTATTTGCTTCCTGAACTTCCATCCTTGCTGAGAACCCTGTATTAGCTATTAGCCCCCCAATTCTGCTGCACGAAGCCCCTCTGGAAACCCTCTCCTTCTGTAAACTCTTCTAAGAAAACCCTTGTTTCTGCTTGCGGGTCTTCTCCTTGTCCCTGGTGTCCTTCCTGCTGCTTTGGTTCCCCCTCCCCCATCTTTCCATTTCTGTCCACAGCCCTGGCTGCCTCTGCCAGGGGTGTCATGTTGTGAACGCCTGCATCTGTCTCTGTCCTTCCAGGGAACGGGGCAGCCGTGTGTGCCCTGTGTGTGCTCTGGTCACCCTTCAGGCTTGAAGCTAGGAGGGTTATGAGCGTTGACTGCAGTGACCGCCTGCAGCTCTTGTGGGTGCCCTGGGTGCGACCTGGAAGGGGGGATTTGTTGAGTTTTACTTATGGAAAACAATGTAGCCACTTCCCCAGGTCCTAGGACCCTGCACTTGACTGTGTTGTGGCCAGGTTCTACAGTCTCCCAGAGACTGTGTATGAGGCCAGCTTCTGCTCTTGAAGCTCCTGTTGCAAATGTGACTGGACGCAAGCAAATGCCTTTCTAAGCCATCACACATATTTTGTTGCAGGGCACCTTTGGCGTCAGGCCCTGTAGCTCGTAGCTTCTCTCTTCCTACCACAGCTCCAAGTCATGACGGATGCCAAGTATGTCCTCTGCCGATGGGAGAAGCGATTGTGGCCTGCGAAGGTGACAGCTCTTTTTCTCTTAATTTGTAGAATTAGAAATGACTTTTGGTGACAATAAAGTCTTTATCAGACTGTGCTCCCTCAGATTGACTCTGGGAGAAAAAGTTGAGCCTGAATGCTTGGCACTCAGATATGCTGGCACGCGTCCCGGGGTTCCTTCACGCCACAGGATTTTGGTCTGGCGCTTAGGAGCCTCTATATCCGGAATTGTCTTTAATTATTTTCACACTAAGGAAAAGAAAAAAAAACCTAAATAAATAAAAATAACCAAAGTCAGCTATAAAAAGGCATGGAAGGCTATGATGACTGGAGCTCCAGCTAGGAGCCCCCAGACAGGGAATAGCTGTGGTGTTTGGGGGGTGCTTTCTGGCAGTTTAGCAGGAGCTGCTGAGTCCGTGTCCTAACCTGGGATGGCCATGGGCTCAAGTGCCTCAGTTTCTCTGCCTGAATCAAAGGAGCTTAAATTAGGTGTCTGGTAAATCCTGTGGCCATCACCTTGGGAAGGGCTTGCCACGTGTCTGTCCCTGCATGCCGCCATAATAAGAGTTCTTTTTTTACACATAGGTTTTGGCCAGAACTGAGACTTCAGTGAAAAACAAGAGAAAAAAAGAATTTTTTCTAGATGTTCAAATACTCTCACTAAAAGAAAAGTAAGTGTGTATGTGTGTGTGTGTGTGTGTGTGTGTTTAGTACTGTCTTTGCTTCTAAAATGATAGAGACGGGAGAAGCCTGCTTCTGCCGTAGCCGTGCGGAGGAGACAGTGGGTTTTATCTGACACCAGTTTTGAGTTGAGGATCTTACATGAGGCCCAGGGATCTACAGAGGAGGGGTCTCAAGGGCGAATAAATAGAAATTACCTCCAGGGAACCATGCCGGGGTCTCCCCTCTTGCCAAGGACCAGCGTATCTTGTTTCTGCTCTGGCTGTGCCAGGCCCCTGCACCACTAAGAAAAAATATGTTTCCATACTGGCAAAGTGGATGGGTGGCAGGACTCTGTTGTCCTGTACCTGGTCACCCTTCATGGGCCATCTGCAAGGACGAAGTGGGTGTGGGCATGTATATAGTCCCCTGCTACAGTCCTCACTTCTGAAGAGTCCACTGGCCACCTGTCTCCTGGGTCTCACGGCCCGCTCCTTCCTGCCACCATCTTCAGAGCCTGCCACCACTTGAGAGTCCCCAGCTCCCGCTTTCCCTGCGGCAGGGAAGGTAATTGAATGCTTGAGTTTAAAGGGAAGGGCGTCCTTTAAACTAAAATGCGCCTGCTGGGCTGTAAACAGCTCTCGGTGAACTCCGAAAACCTAACAAAGGAGTTATTTGTGCAGTTGAAAGTAGGATTTGCTCATGAAAGTCCCAATTTGAATTTATTTTTACTCTTAACTCCAGCCAGACCTTTTCTTTATTAAAAGTGGGGGGAAAAGGGAGAGAGAGAAAAAGCCGTCTCCACCCTGGCTGGCTGTGCCTGTCACCTCCACTGTGTTCCTCCCCATCCCTCCTAAAGTGTGACTTTTGGTGTGAGTGGAAGGTTGAGCCTTCTGAACCATCTGGACAGTCGGGTTTGCAGTCTGGTGGCACTAACCAGCTCTTTCTCGCCGCAGGATCCAGGTGAAGAGCTCGGCCGTGGAGGTGCTGCAGAAATCGCACATTGAGAATATCGCTGCCTTTCTGGGTAAGGACTCCAGCCAGGCTACCAAGGTGCTGTGCCTCGGCGACAGGGCCATCCTTTTCATGCCCCTTTGTTAGGGGACCTCACAGGAAGAAAAACGGATTTGCTTGCTTTTTTTTCCTTACCCTTTTTTAGACAGGGTCTCACGTAGCCCAGGTTGGTCTTGAAATCACTGTAGAGGCTTACCTGAATTCCCGATCCTCCTAGCTCTTGAGTTCCCCAGTGCTGTGATGATGTATTCATATGGGCTGGGGACAGAACCCAAGGCCTTGTGCATAGTAGGTACTTACTCCCCCACACCAGAGCCAGCTCTATTTGGTTATGTTTGCGGCTTTTTGTTTGGGCAGTGCTGGCAGTGGGAGCCCCCCACTATTGGGTTTTTTGTTTTGGTGTGTGTGTATGTTTCTTAGTTTTTGAGGTAGAGTCTCATATTGCAGCCCGAGCAGGCCTGGAGGTTGTAGCAGTCCTCCTGCCTCAGCCTTTGTAGGACAGGGATCACAGGTATTAGATCCCATACCAGGATTCCAGACAGACACATGTGCATACATAACAGAAAGAGACACACATGCATATATAACATAAGATAGGCACACATGTGCATACATAAAACAGAAAGAAGCAGCACATGGATACATAACATCCAGACATATACATGTATGTATATAATATACATAAGGAGAGATATACACATAGAATCCATACATGCATATACATAAATTGCCAATTAAAAAGCCCAGGGGAGCAAGGCCAGAGTGGTCAGATTCCATGTCACGGGTATTGTGAGTGGGGAGTCAGTGTGTATCGGGTGAGACTCCTGTCTGTGTGTGTTGGCCTGCAGTTCAGCACCCTCCAGCCCTTCCTCTGTGGCTGAGCTGGACTTCTTATTGACCCTGCTCCAGATCTGGCAGTGGCACCCACGGCAAGGGTCCTAGATCGCGGCCATCACCACCCAGCAGAGCTGGTGTCAGGCTCCTTGCCATCAGGTTGAGAGAGTGAGTCCCAGCAGCCAAGGCAGGCCCAGGACAGCCAGAACAAGGCCTTCATGGAGCGCACAGCTGTTCAGGGGAGCTGCAGGCTGGGCTGACCACCTTGCTTCGAGAACAAGGGTGTCCCAGTGCTGGGGGCTGCTTGCTTGGAAGCACCCGTTAGTATTTGTTAAGCAGGCGCCAAGTGTGGATGTGGTAGACAGAGGCAGTTATCTTGGCGAGCGTGAAGCTGTCCCGATTCCCCTTCCAATAAACCTTGCAGGACGCTCAGCTGTGTTTCTGCACGGTGCTGCTCTGTGCGTGGGGGGTTAAGTAGTCATCCTGTCAGGCGGAGGTCATTCCGAGTGTGTGTTCTACAGTCATAGCCCAGAGTGAACATAGAGTCACATCCTGGCTTTGTCCTCTTTTTGCGGGGCACACATGGCAGGAGTAGTGCCGGGCCTGCCTGTGGCTCTATAAAGGCACTTGATGTGGTCGTGGAGTCTGCTGCCGCCTGGCTGCAGTGACAAACCCTAGGCACCCGAGTGCACTCTCATTGTGCGGATCTTTGTCTCCACAGCATCTCAGAATGAGGTCGCAGCTACTCCCCTGGAGGAGCTGACCTATCGACGCTCCCTGCGAGTGGCCCTGGATATCTTGAATGAGAGGACAAGTTTGAGTCCTGAAAGCCATGTGACGGAAGAGAAGCCCCACGCAGATGCGGCCTTGTGGGTGCCCAGCGCTCGCTCTCCGTCCTTTTGCAGTGAGGACGGTGACAGTGTGGCTGCTCAGTGCACACCCAGGAGGGAGTGGCTCCCACAAAGTCTGTCGGGGCTGTCTGCAACTGAAGAGGACCACAGGACAGGCCTCACAAAGAATGGAACCCTGAGAGCAGCATTGTCTTCCCTCACTGGAGATGGGTCTCAGGATGGTTCTGGATCCCGACTACACTGTGAACAGGACACTGCCAAGAAGAGGCGGAGGAATTTGGGAGAGAAACCTACCCGGCGCCGCAGAACAGCGTCTTGCCTTTCCAAGGGAGAAAGTGTTGGAGAGAGCGAGGGACAGGCAAACAGCTGTGTGACCCCGGATTCACCTGGGCTACTCGCTCAAGCCTCAGAAGAGGACCCCTGTGCCGGGGTCAAAGGCTGTGACCCGGTTGTGCCATCAGGCAGCAGCAGGCTGCTCCCAGCCTCTGACAGAGGCAGAGGACGCTCCACAAAGAGGCCACGCTTGGATGGAAACCAGAACCCACCCGCTAGGCAGCTGGCAACTGGAACTGTGGGGGCAGCACCCTCCCCTCAGAACTGGCCTGGGGAGAATATGGTGCTGCTCAGGTCTAGTGACAGGGACAAGCCAGAGGAAGGTAACCATGGACAGGGACCCGGGTCTGTCTGTCCCCTGAAGTATAGTGACTTTGTCTTCTCCCACATAGTTCTGTCTTTGTGTCTGAAGAGAGTGGAAGCTCGGGCAGAACTGGGGGTAGCGGTTAGTGACCCGGCAGAGCACCCAAAAGCACATTCGGAGTAAGTGAGGGGTCTGCTGAGGGGATTAGGAGGCCCAGTGTCAGGAGCTGTCTGGGGGTCCTTCTGAGACCTGTGTGTGGCTGCAGCCAGGGGCTGGGCCCATCTAAACCTGTCTTGACCCACTGAGCTCTGGCAGGGGATTCAGGACTTGTGTGTAGTGGTAGCATGACACTCAGTGGGGTCTTTCACAAAACCACCGTCTGCCTATCCACGGGCTACAGCGAACAGCTGGTCCCTTCCACCATATCTTGGGGAGCAGGAGACTGTCTTATCTTGTTTTCAGTCACCTTTTGGTTCTGGGGGCTCATTCTCTGTGTAGCCACATGTCAGGGTCTCTATCTGAAGTCCCCACATTTTGTTACCGAGGGCTGCGCTTGATAGCCTTTTTTCTTCCTGTTTTTTTCTCTCTCTTTTTTTTTTTCTTTAACATGGACTTAAGGCTGGCACTTAGAGCTGGAGCCCGGGCCTGGCCAGCAGGACGCCCTTTGTCCCTGGTCCCAGAATTTAAGCAAAACAGGAGGGGTTGGTGATACGGCTTGGCAGATGAGACAGTGACACTAAACTTGGTGACCTGAATTTGCTCTCAGGAGCTCAGAGTGTAGTTGTGATTTCTATGTGTGCTCGTGTGCATGTATGTGCATGCACAGACACACACAAGTACATGTAGAAAAATGTAAAGACAGACAAACACAAATCTGACACAGGGTGCACCCTTGTTGAATTCTGTGTGGCTCCGTCCTTTATCATAGATGGTTCTTTGTCCCTAGCCCTTTTTGTAGGGTGAGGGGTAGCCATCAAGTGGTGTCCCCTGTCTCAGCAGATCCTGTGTCCTCAGAAGAGTTCACAGGGTTCAAGTCCATCCATTCCCTTCTGGAGGAGGAAGAGGAGGAAGAGGAGGAGCCACCCCGGATCCTTCTGTATCACGGTAAGGGTGCTGCACTTGAGAGCAGTGGGCGAGGGTCCCTGCCCTGCGAGGCACTCCATAAAGCCATCTTATTGTTTGGCGCTGGTGGGGTTTTTGTTTTTAGACTGGGTCTCACTGGTAACCTCTAAATAGCCTGGAACTTGATGTGTAGACCTGTCCCTTTCTGGGCATGCCGAGTAAAGACATAGGCTCTTTTGCCCTCAGTTGGGCAGAACCAGCTTTGCCATTTGTCCAGGGACCTGAGTCCATCCTCCCAGAAGTACAACATGAATTGGGTGTGCAGGTCAGGCTGCTGAGTGCACAGGGACGGCTCAGCCTCTCCTGAGTCGGCTGCACATTGGGATGCTGTACTATGTGGCCCGTCAGCAGCCTCCTGAGCAGGTAACGCCTGCAGAATACCAGGGTTCTTAATGAGGACCAACCAGATTTCATCCCCATTTTACCTCCTGTTCCTCTTAGTGCACCTGAGTCCTGGGGCCCAGTTGTTGCTGAGTTCCTGCTGAGTATCTAGGATGGTAGAAGGGCCTGGGTGCTGGTGTGAGCTATGCCTTTAAATCCTCATCTTTGGGTCAATTTGAAGATCAGGGCATACTGGTTGTAGAGAGACCTCAGCTTCCAGACCTTAGCGTCTTTGGCGTCTAGTGTTCTTCCACGGCAGGCTTGAGCTGATGGCTTCCTTAACCCACCAGACCAAGCTCATGACAATTGCCAGTTCCCAGCCAGGGTATTTGAGGTTCTTGAAGCCTCTCCTGGATGAGCTGTGACCTTCCTCAGATCAGAGCCTTGTCACTCCCCTCCCCCACCCCCCCAGTCCCTGCTGGCCCAGCGAGCCCTTCACAGCTTTGGATTTCATGTCTCCACTCCTGATAGCTTTCCTGACGCTAAAGCTTTAGTGGTCTACACAATCCCTCATCCTGGGTGGGATTCTTTTGTTTGGTTGGTTTTGGTTTTTTTGAGACAGGGTTTCGGTTTCTTTATCTAACAGCTTTGGCTGTCCCGGAACTCAGTTTGTAGACCAGGCTGGCCTTGAATTCACAGAAATCGGCCCTCCTCTGCCTCCCGAGTGCTGGGATTAAAGGTGTGCGCCATCACTGCCTGGCAATCCTGGAATTTTTGGTGAATAGAAAATGTTAAGTTTTATGCAGCAAAGCAGGTGAAGGCAGAGGGATCCCTGCAAGTTGAAGGCCTGTGTGGCCTACACAACACAATCCTGCCTTAAAGAAGAGCAGCACAGGGGCGGAGGCAGTGGATCTGAGGTCCAGGCCTGCCTGGTGGACATAGAACCCTGTCTCAAAACCACAGGAGAGAATGACTTTTCTTCCATCTTGTTTTCTGTCTCCAATTCCCGGGAGGCAGTTTATTCCGGGAGCCATGTGATTGTATATCTACACTTGGTGCAGTGCTGTGCCTGGTATGGGTGCAGTCATCCTAATGTCTGCTTTGGGAAACATGTTAGACTTAGAGGTGGAGGTTTGGGGGTCCTACTGCTGGACTCATCTCTTGTCGTTTATCCTGGGGACACACACAGTCATGGCCTCATGGCTCATAATGAGTCTGTAAGCCCTGTGTCCCCAACTCTCTGGGTTTCCTGGTAGATGAGGAGGTTAGAGTTGGGTTTAAATGATGCCGTGATGAATGTGGGTTTCTTTTTTTCTGTCTGTGCTGTACTTGTTTAAAGTGTATCTGACTCAGCCTTTTCCTTTTGAACCCTAGAACCACGATCATTTGAAGTAGGGATGCTGGTCTGGCTGAAATACCAAAAATATCCGTTCTGGCCAGCCGTGGTAAGTGTACCTGCCACCTGCTGTGTGCGCCAGGTCCCTTCCCTCAGTTCCCATTCCCCCTACTCAGGTAGTAGTTTGGCTCTGCTAATGCTGGAAGGCTCAAGCACTGATAACTCTGACGTGGTGCACACAGCCCCCTCTAGCCGGGGCCTGGTCATTTAACATGGCGTCTTAAGTGAAATTCATACCACATTTCCTCAGGGAAGCTGATGTGAGCAGCGTGCTCTGCTGAGCTTTGGGAATGGATGCTTCAAGTCTCCTCCATCAGGCCCCTGAATTTAGTTCCTATGATGCCGTGGTATGGTGGTGTGTGCCTGTTAGTCCCTGTACACGGAAGGCAGAGGCAGGAGGATGAGGAGCTCACAGTCCTCAGCTACATAAGAATGTTGGAAGCCGGGCTGGAGAGATGGCTCAGAGGTTAAGAGCACTACCTGCTCTTCTAGAGGTCCTGAGTTCAATTCCCAGCAACCACATGGTGGCTCACAACCATCTGTAATGAGGTCTGGTGCCCTCTTCTGGCCTGCAGACATACACACAGACAGAATATTGTATACATAATAAATAAATAAATATTAAAAAAAAATGTTGGAAGCCAGTGTGGGCTACATGAGATCTGTGTCTAAAATAATAATAGTAATAAAAAAAAGGTGTCTCAGTCCCACTGAAGGTGTGTCATGTGACCAGTGAGCTTGCTCTGCCAAGGACAGCCCTAGGTACAGTCAGGCACGGGCTGTAACCCTCCCTAGGTGGAGACTCCCCCATCATCACCCCTCGCTCTCCTGTCATGGGATGCTATCCTCGCACCTAGCTTTAGTGGTTTATGTCTTGTTTTGGATCTTTTTTTTTTTTTTTTGATAAAGGGTTTCTCTGTAGCTTTGGTGCCTGTCCTGGAACTAGCTCTATAGACCAGGCTGGCCTCAAACTCATAGAGATCCGCCTGCGTTTGCCTCCCCTGTGCTGGGATTAAAGGCGTGTGCCACCACCGCCCAATTTGTGTAAGACTAAAAACAAGGTGGGCCAGGTGGGCCGGCTGGGTGGGTAAAGTGCTCACACTACACTAACACTAGGCCTGGGTTTAGCTCTTAGAGCACAGAGCCAGACTCCAGTGTGCCTGCCGTCCTCTGTGGGCTGGAAGGCATTGACAAAGAGACCTTGTTTCAATCAAGGTAGATGGCAAGGACCAGTATTTGAGGTTGTCCTTGGCTTCCATACATGCACTTCTGCACTTGTAACAAAAGATTTACAAACAAGACCCAAATGTAAATCGCTGGGTTCTGCCTCATAACACCACAGAGCCCCAGGAAGCAGTGGGGCCTGAAGCCTGGGTCATGCCACAGCACAAGACTGGCCAGGCCCAGGCCCAGAGGGCCTCAACAAAGGTGGAAAGCGCCACCTCCACTCCTGGTCATGCTGTGCTGTCCCCATTTGCCTACAGGTTAAGAGTGTCCGGCGGAAAGACAAGAAAGCCAGTGTGCTGTTCATTGAGGGCAACATGAACCCTAAGGGCCGAGGGTTAGTACTCTAATGGTTAGGACCTGGGCAGGGGCAGAGACCTCTGTGGTACCTTGACTGCAGCTTCTGACACAGTCTGGCATCCACCTTGCTATTTGGTGCCTTAGCCAGACAGAGCAGCAGCCACCCCACCCCACCCAACCCTGCCCCGCCCCGCCCCACCCCCACATGCTGCACCACAGAGAGCTTCAGCAGAATATGCTTCTTGATTGAACTGGAGCCTCCCCCTAGGCCTTCTCATAATGACCTCAGAGGCCTCTCAGGCACCTTCTAGAAGGTGACCCTGGACACTTGTGTGACCTGAGGGTGGCTGGTTGGGCTGGGGACCTGGGCCCCCAGTGCCATGGAGGTGTTGCAGTCTAGACCAGGGTTAAGTCTCGGAGGAGGGGGTGCTCCCTGGGATGAGGCTGCCCGTGCTGACCTCGGCCTCTGTTCTGTCAAGAATCACCGTGTCACTTCGAAGGCTCAAGCACTTTGATTGTAAGGAAAAGCACGCACTGCTGGTAGGTGGCGGCCTGTGCTCTGTGTGTGCCCGCACGCCAGCCATTGTGTTGGTGTTGTCACCTTTGTTCTGTGTGCGTGTGTGCATGCTCGTGCCTGTGAGGGTGTGTGATGGTCAGGATGTTCTGTGTGTGTGTGCGTGCGTGCACGCTCATACCTGTGAGGGTGTGTGATGGTCAGGATGTTCTGTGTGTGTGTGCGTGCGTGTGCATGCTCATGCCTGTGAGGGTGTGTGTGTGTGTGTGTGTGTGTGTGTGCACGCTCATGCTTTTGTGAGGGTGTGCGATGGTCAGGATGATCTGTGTGTGTACACGCGCGCGTGTGTGCACGCTCATTCCTGTGAGGGTCAGAGGACAACCCTGGGTGTCGGGCCTTGCCCCATGTTTTCCATTGTTCTGTGTACCCCAGGCTGGCTGGCTCTCAGACTTTGGTGTCTCCCATCCTGTCTCACCATAGGAGTGCTGGCTCACACTCCACTGCCATGTCTGATTTTACATGGGGATTTTAACTTGCCTTCCTGAATGAGCTTTTTCTCCTTGGCCAGGAACACTTACTTTGTTCTATTTACTCAAAGCCCAAAGCCCCGGGCTGTGGGGCGATGGGCTGCACTGGGAGACAGTGGGAACTGTGGGCACAGGTGTGGATGGGTGCTACCTGCTACAGGTGCACACCAGGCCCGGGTCTCCTCACTAACATAGAGTTGGTAACGTACCAGGGTGAGGGCCTGAGTGTGACTCCCAGAGCCCACTTGAAGGGAAAGGCATGGTGATATGTGACTGTCACACCAGCACTGGGGAGACAGAGACTGGGGATCCCTAGGTCTCACCACAGTCTAGCTGAGTCAGGAAGCTCAGTTCAGAGCGAGACTGTCTCAACAGAGACAGAGATCAGTGAGTACAGGATCCGGCCTCCATCTCCGCCTCCACACAAATCTGGGTATGGGATCCAGCATCCCCAAGGTGATGGGGAGGGTTGGGGGGCGGTGCTGGCTAGAAGCTGAGGCAGGAGGATTAGGAGTTCTAGGGCCAGGCTTGGTTATTATATACAAGGCCTGAACTACATGAGACTCAGTCTAGAAAAGACTGAAAAGCCCGATTGTCTGTCGGGTGGCTTGCTGGATGCTTCATCTGAAGGGGCTTGTCTGTCACCCCCCTGAGAGGGCCAGGCTGCTGTGGAGTGGATGAGAGCCCGGGCTGCACAGCACCTGCCCAGGCCTGTGTGGCTGCCGCGGCCACTTGGGCCCTGCTGTTGGGTTTTGTAGGACAGAGCCAAGGAGGACTTCGCCCAAGCCATTGGCTGGTGTGTGTCACTTATCACCGACTACCGTGTGCGGCTGGGTATGTGGGCTGTACCCCAGGGAGCGTGTGGGGGTGTACCATGGTATCTCCTGAGGGCAAGATGGGGGACTGACGTGGATGTGGTCCCAGTCCTACATCCTGTCTTGGCCTGGCTAACCTGTGACGATACTTTTTCTGTGGAAGGTGGGAGCAGGTGCAGCCCTCCTGACTGAAGGCCCAGTTCCTCTGCACAGCACTGCCTCTGTGTGGTGACTTGACCATCCCCTGAGCCCCGGGCAGCTCCTTCCTAGGGCGGTGGACAGACTTAGCACCCCACAGACCTGCCTCAGGGTCAAGCACAACCCAGAAGGCTCCTGAGCAGAAGCCCTGAGCCACAGGACCTGGCAGGGTGCAGGTCTGAGCATGGCCCTTTCCTGTGCCCTCCACAGGCTGCGGCTCCTTCGCTGGATCTTTCTTGGAATATTATGCTGCTGATATAAGTGCGTATAAGTGTTCTTCACCATGGGGTCTGCCTTTGGTCCCCGAGAGGCTCATCCTGAGTCTCCTGTTGTCCTTGGTGCACGCACCAAGGTGCCAGTGCCATCCTGAGCAGAGTTCTGTGACCTCAGCTGCCCTCAGGGATGCTCTGCATCCTTGTCAGGTGGGCAGCTGTGTGCCAGGTGAGGGACTCAGGAGTACTGGGCATCTAACTGGCACACTCAATGGTCCCCAGAATGAGGATTTTCCTCATGGGCATAGAAGCTCTGGAGAGAGGTGAAGGGGACATGAGCTCCTGATGTGTTCCCCTTGCAGGCTACCCTGTGCGCAAGTCCATCCAACAGGATGTCCTGGGGACCAGGTTTCCTCAGCTGGGCAGGGGAGACCCTGAGGAGCCTGCGGGGGACAGCCGGCCAGGACAGTGGCGGCCGTGCAGGAAGGTGCTGCCTGACCGCTCCAGGGCTGCGCGGGACAGAGCAAACCAGAAGCTGGTGGAATACATTGTAAAAGCCAAGGGTGCGGATAGCCACCTGCGGGCTATCCTGCACAGCCGCAAGCCCTCACGCTGGCTGAAGACATTTCTGAGCTCTGCCCAGTATGTGACATGCGTGGAGACATACCTGGAGGATGAGGCACAGCTGGATGAGGTGGTGCAGTACCTGCAGGGCATCTGCCGAGACATGGACGGGGAGGTGCCTGCTCATGGCAGTGGGGACCGCATTCGTTTCATCCTGGACGTGCTGCTGCCTGAGGTGGGCGCCTGGGCCCCTATGCTCAGCACTAACGAGGTTTTGTACTCTGACCCTGGTTAGGGTTTCTGGAAAAGCAGTCGCAGGTCAGTTAGCCGTCAGCCCCTGCCCCTGACAGACCTTCCTGCTCACAGTCGCAGGTCAGTTAGCCGTCAGCCCCTGCCCCCGACAGACCTTCCTGCTCACAGTCATGTGGCCTTATTGCTATGGCTGGGACATAGTCCACATAGAATGGGAAAATAGATGTGTGATGGGGCTGTGTGCTGGCCTCAAACTGGGGCTTCTCCTACCTACCTCGGCCTCCTAAGTACTGGATGACCTCCACACCTGGCCCCTGGAAGTCACCCGTGGCTACTTCAGTGTGTAACTTAAAACTGGGTGACTTTGACTGTCTCAGGGCGTTGTCGGGTGTGACAGCCCCAAGTGGAGGACACTGCTGAGCATGCTTGCTGTAGTCTGGGACACCCCACAAGGAACAGCTTCATGCCCTGTCAGTTCTTAAGGGAAACCTCAGGAAAGACCCTGTCACCAATGTGTGGTTGCACAGGCTTGTCACACAGCTACTGAGGCAGGAGGATGCTGACTGACAGGCCAGCCTAAGCTGCACAGTGAGACCATTTCTTTTTTCCTTCCTTCCTTCCTTCCTCCTTCCCTCCCTTCCTCCCTCCCTTCCTTCCTTCCTTTCTTTTTCCTTCAGTTTTTCCAGATCAGTTTTCTCTGTGTATCTGTCCTGGAACTCACTTTGTAGAGCAGGCTGGCCTTGAACTCAGAGATCCACCTGCCTCTACCTTGCAAGTGCTGAGATTAAAGGAGTGTGTCACCCAGCAGAGACAATTTCAAACAACAAACATGTGTTTGCTGAAACCACAGTGTGACTACTGGTAGCTCCCCAAGGCCCTGACTTCAAAACTGTACACTGAGACAAGGTTGCCCTTGAGCTTGCCATAGAGCTGAAGGTGACCTTGATGCTCCGGCCGACTCAATGTTCCTGGGGGCTGGGCACAGCAGGTTTGTGTGATGGTGCTGGGAATGAAGCCCAGGCCTCATCCGTGCCCGTCTAGTGCTTTGCCCACTGAACCACGGTCCTTCCCATTCTTCCGTAGGCGGTCATCTGCGCCATTTCCGCAGTGGAGCGCGTGGACTACAAGACGGCTGAGCAGAAGTACATCCGGGGCCCTACTCTGAGCTACCGGTAGGCCTCCCTGTCCTGTGCTGTGCTTCCTGCAGCAGCTCAGCTGCTCAGCCTTCTCCACAGGTGGTGCAGGTGCTGTCTGTGTCAGCAAACAGGTGCTGGACAGGGGCAGCAAAGGCCCAGGTCTGCAGGCTGTTCTCTGAGCCAGGCTGGATGCAAGCCAGGGCCCTGCGGCTGGGAGGAGCCTCCTCTGCCTGAGACCTCTATATCTCCTTGTGCAGGGCAATGTGGACTCTGCCCCGCCTGCTCTGGTGCAACTGGTAGTGGGCACAGAGCTAGATTAGATTAAAAGGTAGTATAGCCGTCAGCAGGGCAGCAGGATAAAGATGCCTCTCCTGTTGGCCTGCAGCACTCTTGAGATGTGTGGCCCCAGAGCCTCTAATCCACCTCTGGGCGTGCTGCCAGACCTCAACAGGAGCCACTGCAGTGGGGTCTCTATCCAGAGCCACAAGCCCAGCCCTAGTTTGTTGGGGCCCATTATCCCTAATGATAAGTCGGCATCCCCAGGCCAACAGTGGGCCACCAGAGCAGCCAGGTTAGGTGAGAGTCTGCCCAGGCCAGCAGTGGGCCCCAGAGCAGCCAGGTCAGGTGAGAGTCTGCCCAGGCCAGCAGTGGGCCCCAGAGCAGCCAGGTCAGGTGAGAGTCTGCCCAGGAAGTGTGCAGCTCCTGTCGTTTTCACAGTTCTGACTCTGAGTAACATGGCAGCTGGGGCCTTGGGACTGGCTTTCAAAGATGCTTCCAGTCCCCAGCTTGCAGCAGTCAAAGGTGCCTTAGTTAATACACTAATCCGTTGTTCTCCTGCCAGTGCTGGGAGGTGAGGAGGAGCCTGAGGTCCAGGCCTGGACTGCCCGGCCTAGAGGATGTCTTATTCAGTCAGTACAGTTACCACCAGCGCCTGTGTAAGAAGCTGGGCGTGGTTGTGTATGCAATAGTTTAGCCCTGGAAGGCAGAGACAGGAGGATACCATTTATCAAGGCTGGCAACCTAATCAGCAAGGACCAAGTGCAGTGGGAGACTTCGTCTCCAAAACCCAGATGGAGGGTCAGTGCCTGATGTCTCTCTGGTCTCCATATTGTGAGCATGCGTGCATGCATGTGTGGTGTGTGTGTGTGTGTGTGTGTGTGTGTGTATTTGTGTCTGCTGTGCATGTACTTGGTGAGCAAGGCCTACCACAGCACTGTCTTCTGATGTTCTTAGTATGAGCCCAGGTCTTTGGTGCTACAAGGCTGTGCTTATGCCAATCATGCCCCAAAGAATCCTCTCTTTATTTTTAGATGTGTCTATTTTTATGAATATGGGTGCTTTGCGCGCGCGTGTGTGTGTGTGTGTGTGTGCGTGTGCACGCCTGGTACCTGCGGATGTCGGAAGGGGGCGTTGGATCCCCTGGAACTGGAGTTCTGAATGTTTGTGAGCTACCATGTGGGTGCTGGGAACTGAACTTAGGTCCTTGGCAAAATCAGCAAATTGTCCCAACACCTGAGTCATTCCTTCAGCTCCCAAAATAACATTCTTCAGAGTGAGGCAGGAGGATTACTGTAAGGCCAAGGCCAGCCTGGGCTATGTGAGACTTTTATCACACACATTAAAAAAAAAAAAAGCCAACCTGGGGCTGTTGCTCAATGGAATACTCATAAACTCTTGCTTGAGGCCCTGGGTTTTATCCCAAGCTCACTTGGCAAAGTTGAGGGTTTTTTATGTTTTTTTGTTTTGTTTTGTTTGTTTTGGTTTTTGAGACAGTTTATCTGTTTAGCTTTAATTGTCCTGGGACTTGCTCTATAGACCAGGCTGGCCCTGGACTCAGAGATCTACCTGCCTCTGCCACTTGAGTGCTGGGATTAAAGGATGCTCCACCACTGCTCAGCCCATCTCTTGTTTCTTGAAGGGAAAAGGAAATCTTTGACAATGAACTCCTGGAGGAGAGGAGCCGTCGCCGTCGCTGACGCTGTAACCTCCACAGCCTGCCAGAGGGCTCTGCAAGAATAAGAATGTACTAGAAGCAAGAGGCCCAGAAGTGTGCTGACTTTGAACTGTGGGTCTTGCATCTTCATTACTGAGTCCGGGATGTCAAATGTCGTTGACACCAGAAACCTGCTGGCAGCTACGGACAGAGATATCTGGAAGTTTCTGTGCGTGTATGCGCGTGTGTTTGTTTTTTGTTTGTTTGATTTTAATATTATTGTTTCGTTTATAAATGAGTTTGAATGCACATGTGTCATGGTCACTGCAGTGTGGCCGGCATGTGGGCCTGGGTCCTGTGTTACTTGGAAAGACTGATGGGAACACACAGCTCACAGAGCGTTGACGTGTTTCCCTGATGTGTTCTGCAATCTTTTCTGCCACTCTAGTGTGGCGGGCGAGCAGGAGGTGGGGACCTGCAGCTACTGTCTTTGGGAGGTGGGGACACGTTTGCTCAGTGGCCTCTGTGTGTCCCTGGGAGGGCAGGCTGGTTGGCTGACTCAGCCTCGCACTGAAACCTTGGCAGTGTACTCAGACAGTTGCCACCAGTTTCCAGCATGGCCACCACCCCACCTAGAAACCTCTTTGGGGCTGAGGGATGTGGGGATGGCAGCAAGAAAAGGCAGCTCCCGGTGCGCTGGCCACCACGCTGGATTCCATGGCCTCAGGTGGATGTGTGGAAGCTGTATCCAGCAAGGGCAAGGGCAGAGCCACCGCCTGCACACGCTGCGGGAATGCTCAGCCAGGTACTTCCTGGATATGGGACATATGGGTGTCCTCCACACTGTGGCCACCCCAGGATGAGAGGGGGACATGGGTTTGATGGGGACATGTGAGCCTAGACACCTGCATCTGACGGCACAGTGCTGCCAGGATGGCACAGGACAGCTGGGCTGCCATGGAGACCAACAGCAAGGCAGGACTGTGCAGACCTTGAGGCTCCGAGACTTCCCTCCCATCCTTTGTCAGAGGCTGGGCCAACTGGAAGGGACACTAGATTGAACTATTTTGTCAAATGGCCAAAAGAAATCTAACAGCGACTCCTGTTGGTTTGGGGAAGGGGGCCTGCCCTCTCCATGGGCAGAACTGGCAGGGAGTGGGGAGCCTTTCAGAACTGCAGGAAGTGCCTTTGTATGTTGCCCGGCCTGGCAGTGTCCCAGGATTCTCACTGCCTTGGTCCTGACCTTATGGCCTTACTGTTCTGTCTCAGATCAGGGTCAGTTGTGTGGTACTGACTGAAGTGCTGCCTGACAGGGTAGCCTGGAGAAAACAACACCCTGGTCACGTCTTGGGTTCTGAGCCCTGGCAGGCGGGGAGAGAGATAGAACCGGTCACAAGCTGGAGAAGGGCCGGCAGTGTTCCCATCCTCTGCACCTAAGGCCCTGTGTCCTGTGGGTTTTGATGGCCTGTGTCTCATCTTGTCCTGTAGCCACATTTTCCTCTGCAGTTGGGGTCTTATACCTCAGGTTTTGACCTAGTTGTCTTAAAGAAGCCAGAGAGGACTCACCCCTGCCTTGCCAGTGCCCCATATCCTTCGTGGCTCCTAAGTGTCCTGTGCTCCGGGCCTTTGACCTTCTGACTCCAGATCTTATTCAGGGCTTCCTAGGCCACATGGAGTGGAGGGATGGGCACATTGTTTGCCCCTGCTGTGATGGGGTGTCCTGAGGCCTCTCCTGCTTCAGCACTGTGATGGGGTGTCCTGAGGCCTCTCCTGCTTCAGTACTGTGATGGGGTGTCCTGAGGCCTCTCTGCAGCACTGTGAGGGGGTGTCCTGAGGCCTCTCTGCAGCACTGTGAGGGGGTATCCTGAGGCCTCTCTGCAGCACTGTGATGGGGTGTCCTGAGGCCTCTCTGCAGCACTGTGAGGGGGTGGTTCTGAGGCCACCAATCCCATCCCTAGGCTCCCTGGTGCCAACACCACCTATACTTCAGAGACCACAACCCTATGTCACCTGACACCCAGACCCTACATAATGAAGACTCAAATCCCCTCAAGAAGCGACAGGTGGCCAGCAGATAAAGGCATGGGTGAGGATCCTGACTCTCACACTGGCAAGTGAACTGTGGACCATGATACTATGCCATGCTAAGAGAATGGGAAGTGTCTGTCCTGCGTGGCATTGTCTCCTGACCCCTCTCCATCTGCCAGGCCACCAAGCCTGTTGGTGACAGGAAGCAGATTCCCTCTTGCCTGCAGATCAGGTCAATAGTGGGCAGTGATCAGAGGCTGAGGACTTGTCAGCGATGAAGATCCTGCTGCCAATAGTTGCTCTGTCTGTCTGTCTTCCTTTCTCTTGAGACTGCTATAACCTCATCTAACCCCGGCACTGCAAAAGGTCCACCTCAGATTACAATCAACATAGGACTGCATGCTGAGTTTCCAGCACCTGTGGAGCCAGCATTGCAAGGGTGCCAGGGCGACAGTGAGGGGCGGCTGTCCAAACAGCCTCCAGTTAGCTGGATCCTTCCTTACCAGGGCACAAGCTGCTGTTGCAGGTTTGGGTGTGGCTCGGGCAGCACCAGACTAGCCTGCAGAATGCCTTAGCTATGGGGCTGGGGGAATCTCATGATATAGTATGGCTCAGCTGGCTGTGGCCTACCTAGGACTTCTCTGAACTCTTTGCAGATGGGCATGGTAGAGTAGAGGCTGGAGGATTACCTTGAAGGCCAGCCTAGGCTACAGAGTGAAGCTCAGACTCAAAAGCAAAAGAACAAAAGAACCTTAAAGATTTTTCTCCAGACTATAACTCTCTCCTGGCCATACCCAGCATTCACACTGCCCCCCCCCCACACCTCTGCTGGCCATCCCCACCTCTGCCTGCCCTCCCCACAGCTTGCCAGGTGCTGTCACCTAGTAGGAACTCCGTAACTCCTGTGGTTTACCCATTTGTAAACTGGACAGAATTGTGTAAACAGCACATTCCCTGTTAATTTCGGTTTAGTCTTAAGATTTATTGATTTATTTATTGTGTGTGTGTGTGTGTGTGTGTGTGTGTGTGTGTGTGTGTAAGTGCGAGGCACATGGTGGTACCAAGGCAGAGGAGAACGTTCAGGAGTCAGGTTCTCTGCTGCCATCTTGTGGAATTAGGCGGTCTAGCTTGGGCTTGGTAGCAAAGTGTTTTTAATCAGCTGAGCCGTCTGCCCACCTCTGGCCTTGAAACTACTGTGTGGCCAAGAACGATCTCCCCTGTGCCAGAGTGCCTGTACCGTGTCCAGGTCGTGGGGTGCCAGAGTGCCGTACCGTGTCCAGGTCGTGGGGTGCAGGAGGTGGTACCCATGGCCTTCCACATGATAGTGGAGAGTGAACTTCATCTTCCTAGATTTGATTCATTTTATGTTATTCATTATTTTTAAAGTTAATTGACTTATTCATTTGTTTAGTTTTTCAAGACAGGGTGTCTCTGTGTAGCCCTGGAACTAGCTCTGTAGAGAGAGGCTGGCTTTGAACTCACGGAGCTCTGCCTTTCTCTGCAGATTCTGAGTGCTGGAATTATTATGATTTTATTTTATTTTATTTTATATATGTGGTGGTTTGGCTGCTTACATACCTGGTTCCTGAAGAGGTCCGAAGAGGCATTAGAGACCCTGGAGCTGGAACTCCAGATGGTTCTTAGCCACCATGTGGTTCTTGCTCCTTTCAAAGAACGAATAGGTTGTCTTTGCTTGCTGAGCCACCTTTTAAAACGTTTGTTATTATTACTATTATCATGATTGTCTTTTTGAGAGGAAGACCTTCCTGCTTCTCTGAAGTGCTGGAACGACAGGCGTGTAATACCTCACCCAGAAATATTTAGATTTTTAACCCTACCAGTTTAAAGACTATTATGTTGATCTCCAGCGTCTAAAACAAATTTAAAAATTAAATGTCGGATTGGAAGAATTTAGCATTGTGGGTGAAAATGAAACAAAAATCTCAAAAACACCAGATACATTCAATGACGCAAAATAGATTGCCGAAACCCGGGATCGAACCAGGGACCTTTAGATCTTCAGTCTAACGCTCTCCCAACTGAGCTATTTCGGCACGCTGGACAGGGCCGTTCCTGCCCAGACTCCGCCCCATGTGTAGCTACTGTGCGCAAGCGCACGTCACAGCCCGTGGGCATAGCCTTGTAGGGCTATATTAGAAGCCACTTTTCGGTGCAGTCTCTGTGGCGCAATCGGTTAGCGCGTTCGGCTGTTAACCGAAAGGTTGGTGGTTCGAGCCCACCCAGGGACGCGCACGACCAGACTTTTTTTTTCCCCCCTGAGACTGAAAATGCCATTATTTTTGTTGCAGTTCACTATCAAAGGAGGTTGGAAGCTCGCAGTGCGCGCGCGCGCGCGATCACAGGCAGTAAAGTAAGCGCGTCGGAACGACTCCGCTTCCGTGTTCAGGTTTCCGTTAGTGCCTATTTGGGCTAAGGACCAGACCCGGAACGCTTTGGAGGACGGACCGCAGAGGTTGTCTGAAGGCCGATACCATGATGGCGGCGCTGGCGGGTGAGTGAGGCCCTGAGCTCCGGATAGCGGGAGAGTCTTGGGCTGCGTGCTGGGCAGTGGGGACCTTGGGGCCCAAGCGCCGCAGTGAGTGACGTTGGCGTCTCAGACACCTGTAGGTCAGGTCTCAGCCTCGGTAATGTCGGGGTCCAGGGTCGGGCCGAATTGCGTTTTGGTCCACTTAACACAGTTCTGTCAGCTGTGAACCTCCTCCTGTTATTGCGGCAGATTATAGTCAGGGCCGTTGAGGCCTGTTTGTCTCCCAACATCTGATTACAGGAGCCCGCTGATGTCCTTGAAACACAGAGAGCTGGACAGGGAGGGGACCCAGAGCGATCAGGCCACAACCCGGGCTCTAACGCCTCCTTCACACCCTGGACAGCCAGTCAGGGCCTCTAGCATTGCAGATGTCTCGGTTTCTTTCTTGAAGCCGCTCTCATTATGTACAGGGATTATCCGCGAATGCAGTCTGGCGTGCTGAGCGACCCTTGATAAGTTTCCCTGAGCAGAACGTCTTAACCCCTAGACGGTGGCACTGTTAACACTAGGAACCGGAGATCTCAGGCGGTCGGGTCTCACTGCACCCGAGTTTTGTTGTTGCTTTGAGACAGGGTTTCATGAAAGCTGCTAGGTTGGCCTCAAACTCACTATGTATCCTGAGGACGAACTTGAAGCCTCCAGCCCTCGAGGGCTGGGTGACCGGCGTGCACCGTGCACCCTCGTGCCTATTTCTGCAGCGCTAGGGAGAGAACTTAAGGGCTTGGTGCCTGCTAGGCAAGGAGTCTGCCAACGGAACTCCAGCGCCAGCCGTTTTGTTTTTGAGACAGAATCTCTCGCCTGTGGGAGGCTGACCTTGAACTCCTGGTCCTCCAGCATCCCCTCCACCCCCAAGTGCTAGGATGACAGATGTGGACTTGAACTTTTTTTGATTTTGTGGGTTTTTCTTTTTCTTTCCTGCCTTTTTTTTTGGGGGGGGTTGGCTGGTTGGTTTTGGAGACAGGGTTTCTCTGAAGCTGTCCTGGCTGTCCTGGAACTCACTGTAGACCAGGCTGACCGTAACTCATAGAAATCCTCCTGCCTCTGCTTCCTGAGTACTGGGATTAAAGATGTGTGGCACCACGGCCTGGTAGTTTTGTTTTTCTTTAAGATGGGGTCTTTCTGTGTGGCCTAGGGTTATATCAAACTAATGTTCTGCCTCCGTCCCCCATGCTGGGTACAGACCTGGGCAGTGTGCCAGGCCCAGCCGTGGCATGGACACGGAGGAGTGGAAGGAATGGGTTCCTGGCTTGACTGCTGCTTCCCGCGCTCACTCAGGACTGGCTGTGCACTTGCCAGTGAACAGTCGATACACCTTATTAGCAATCGCTGTGTTTTCCTACCCACAGTTGGATTTGAAGGAAAAACTAATTTTCGTTAATACTTTAGGGACAGCAAAGATGTTTGCAGTAGAGCATTGTCAGGTACAGCTGTGGTCCTAGTCCTGTGGAAGCTGAGGCACCCAGCCTAGGCTAGACGCTGAGACCCTGCTTTAGAAGAAGGATACTTGGGATCCCTGTGAGTTCTAGGCCAACCTTGTCTCTCTAGGAAGTTCCAGGTCAGCCAAGGATGCATAGTGAGACCCTTTAAAAACAGAAGAAGAAAGAAAGCAGGAAGAGGCAGAGGCCTGGGATGTGATCCAGTATTGAAGCACTCACTGAGCATGTTCAAGGCCCCACGTCTGATTTGCAGCATGACAGCACAGAAGTCTGGTCCAATCCAGGCTTGGTGCTACCTGCTGCAGACCTGGCTGCTCAGAAGGCTCTTGAGGTCAGAGTTCAGAGCTTGCCTGGGCAACACAGAGACCCTGTGGCACTTAAAACCAAAGCCTGATGCTGGCACCCCAACCACTTAGCAGGGCATTTACTTCACTGTTAGTTTATTCAAAGCCTTAAATTTTTCATCTAGGGAAACCAAGGCCGGTGTGTGCCCTCAGACAGGAGTCTAGACCCAGCAGTCATCTTCCTTTGGTCCAAGCAGTAGGCCACAGTCATGACCTTGGAAAATGGTATCACTGAACAAGGTTGAAGTCAGAGTGAGGAGAGCTGAGGCAAGAGGGAAAACAGGGAAAGCAGCTGTCAACCCTAGCCCCAGGTTTAGAGACAGAATATTCCCCAAGTCATTGTGGGGGGCTCCCAGTCCCCCCTTTCCTCACAAAGAGCACCCACTCCTGCTACCTCAGGGCACATCTTAGTGGCCTCTGGAGGGGCTCATGCAAACAGGCCCCATTCCCGGGTGCTGGTGCAAAAGGGCCAGCACATGCCTAGCTTCATCCTCAACGTGCCCCTGGACTGCTGCCCCCGGACTGCATCCTGCTGTGTGGAGATGTAGGGCAGGTTATTCAGAAGCAGCTGGCTGGGGTCCTGGTGTGGAGCGGTGAGGCATGGGAGGCAGAGGGAGGCTTAGTCAAGACTCAGAAAGTGCTGGAGCTCTCCAGGGAAGGGCCATGACCCAGAACTAAGCTGTTGGACCCAAGGTGCTGTGCTTCCCTCCCCAGCTCCTGGTCTCTTCTGTGTGCGGATCCTGGGCCTACGGTGAGTATGCCTGTCTGTCACAGATCCAGCCTGCCGTCAGGGAACAGCACGGAGCTGCAGGGCTTGAAGCCAGGAGGGCTCCTCTGTAGTGTCCAGGGAAGGAACTACTTAGTGAAGGTTTCCCAGCAGGTTTAGGGAGGCTGACCAGGTATCCTCCTCACATGGTGTGTGGGGACTGTCTGGAAGGCCAGCACTGTCCACACACCTGGGGCCCTCATAGCTCACACACTCCTGTCCCAGCAAGGTGTTCTGTGACTGCTTCCCCGGACCTCCGCAGGCTGACTGCCTTGGGACAGGTTAAGGGCTTCAAGCACAGCAGCTCAGGACTCTCCTGGCGAGGACATTTGACAGCCCGTTGACCAGCTGGTGTTCTCAGACACCAAGAGCACAGCACAGGTCACGTCTAAGAGAGCAGGATGGCCCATAGATGAACAAGGGACCGTGGGTGGGCAAGGAAGGCACTTGTGGGTGGGGATAGTGGGAAGGAGCGGCTGCTTGGGTGCTGGTGGCCTTTCACCACTGTCCCTGTTTGCAGGTCCAGCATAGACACAGTGGCCCAGGTTCGCAGAGTCCATCAGAGTGTGGCCACCAAGGGCCCGAGCAGGTAATCCAGGCTTTGGGGAGAGGCCCCAGTGCTGTCTTCCAGGCCCTCCACTGAGGTGCTGCCTACACCCTGCCCCGCCCTATGATCTCGCCTCTCTAGTGTGGCCACTACTCCTTTCCTGTGTGTCCCTCCCTACCGGGAAGCTGCTCTGGCTGGGTCCCAGACAGGGCACTGGGGTCACCTGGCTAACTCTCCGCCATGCTCATGTGTTCTCTCCTTAGCACACAGTCCGCTGTGCCCAAGGCTGGAGGTGGAGCTGTGGTTCCCAAGCCCTCCCATCTTCCCAGAAACCGGGCTGAGTATGTGGTGGCCAAGCTGGATGACCTCATCAACTGGGCACGCCGGGTAAGTCTCCTTCTCAAGGGTCCGGCTGCCCGCCCAGCTGTCACTCAGGATGGCTGGATGACTAGGCCTTCATCAGACCTGTCTCTCGAGACAGGCTTTCTCTGTGTGGTCCTGGCTATATAGCATTTTCAAGTATGTGTCTATGCATGCCTGTGCACCACAGCATGTGTGCAAAAGCCAGAGGACAGCTTGTAGGAGCCGGTCCCCTCCTTCTACCATGTAGGTCCCAGGGATCAAATTCAAGCCACGCCTTAACTAGGTCCCACCTCTTAAAGATGATTGGTTAACAAAGCTTGCCCATCCCAGGCTCTCTGACTTCCTGGCAAGTCCTTTACTCATTGAGACATCTCGAGAGCTGATGCAAAGGCCTTTTTAATTTGTGAGACAGGGCACTGTGAGCCCAGACACATCTGCCGGGTCTCAGGTGCAGACGCAGGGAGGCTGGATCCGCGAGGAGCTTACGCACTAGTGGATAGAGGACAGCCTAGTCCTTGCCAGTCCAGAGATTACAAGAGTGGGTATTCCTGGTGCCCAGCACAGCAGCTTGACTTAGATGCCATCCAGAGTCCTGGGTCTGCAGCAGCCACTAGCCTCATGACTGTCAAGCACTCAGTGTCACCGTGCCCACAGGGTGGAGGGGCAGTGTCCAGACATGTGACCGACTCTCCCTGCCCTCACAGAGCTCCCTGTGGCCGATGACCTTTGGCCTGGCGTGCTGCGCGGTGGAGATGATGCACATGGCCGCCCCGCGGTACGACATGGACCGCTTTGGCGTGGTGTTCCGTGCCAGTCCGCGGCAGGCCGACGTGATGATTGTAGCTGGCACACTTACCAACAAGATGGCCCCTGCACTCCGCAAGGTACACCTGGTCTCCTTGGTTCCTTCTCCTGCCCAGCCCCCCACAGACACCTGACCTGAATGTCTTTTAGGTGTACGACCAGATGCCTGAGCCTCGCTACGTGGTGTCCATGGGGAGGTGAGTATGTGCTCGCTTGCCTGGGGGATTAGGACCCACTCCGGTACCCCCACTGTCACGGTTCCTCCCAGCTTGACTCTGTAGACTTGAAGCCTCTTCCTCCCATGTCCCGCTCCTCAGCTCCTTCGGCAGCTGTCACTGGCTCATTGTCCTGGCGTGGGACCCAGGGCCGTGCTGTTTTCCAGCCCAGCTGCTTAGCTTGCTTAGGAGGCTGTGGAGTGTTCCCCAGGAATCCCAGCTGTCTGTGACACTAGCTTTAGTTACTCCTGTCTTAAAAAAAGAAGTCACTGGGTGTGGTTCCAGCTTTCTCGAGGCAGAGACAGCCCGCTCATTGAGTTCGAGGCCAGCTTGAACTACATAGTGAGATCCTGCTTCAAAAGATAAAACGTAAAGGGCCACAGCTAGGTTAGAGATTCACCCCAACGTGCAGGAACTGGGTTCCATCTGCAGTGCCAGGTAACACAGTGTGGTGGCGGGTGCCTGTCACCCTCAGGTCATCTCCTGTGCAGTGAATCCCATCCTAGACCCCACAGGCCCACCCCAGTCCAGCAGCAGAAATGCTTGGTTGAGGGCACTTTTCCATATGTTCATCATTGCCACTTGCATCCCACATTTCCCACAGAAGGTTCTAGAAGCCCCTTTTACTGATCCCAGTTCTTACCTGTCTGACCCTTGCATTTTCTCCTCTCCTAGGGCCAGGATGAAGGGTGTGGGGTGGGCTGGGTGGACATGCATCTGAACTGCCTCACCCTCTCCCTAGCTGTGCCAATGGTGGGGGCTACTACCACTACTCCTACTCGGTGGTGCGAGGCTGCGACCGTATTGTGCCCGTGGACATCTATGTGCCAGGTGAGGCCAGCCACCCTGCCCCACTCCACCAGACACCGTCTCCTGTGTCCTGGAGGGCAGAAGGATAGATGTGATGTGCATCGTCCTCTGTCCCGGTCCCCCGAGAACACTGAGTGTGCTGGCTTTCCCCTGCTGCCCAGTCTGCCTTACCTCCGTGCTCACTGGCCACTGCCCCCAGCAGGGCCCTCTGGCAGCAGACTGCAGGGCAACAAGGGCCAGCTAAATGGAGGAGGGGGTGCAGCTCCAGGCTGCATTCCTGAGGCCCCTGGCATTGAGACCGGGAATCTCAAGATGCCCCTGGCCCAACCTTCCTGCCCGTCTCCCTGACCCAGTGGTCCAGTTTCTGTGAGTGACTCTTCCTGAGGATCCCGCTGGTCACCAGAGTCACAACCAGGGCCCTTTTCTGTGGGGAGTGGGTGTTGGGAGGCCCAACACAGCAAGGACACTTATCCCTTCAAAGCCAACCCCAGGGCACCCCGAGAGCCCTCCATGTGGGCTCATGGGGTCTCAGTGTGTGTGTCCTTCAGGCTGCCCGCCCACAGCTGAGGCGCTGCTCTACGGCATCCTGCAGCTGCAGCGGAAAATCAAGCGTGAGCAGAAGCTGAAGATCTGGTACCGCAGGTAGAGCCGCCAGGCCGAGCGCCACAGCTCCGGAACCCCAGTGTGAATAAACCCACCCTAGTCCTGTGTGTGCTCTGTGTGGACTGTGGCCCAGTGGGAAGGCATCACACTGGGCATGTCCTGTGCCCTCTGTACAGACTGCGGACCCTGAGGGACTGCCATAGGGGAGCAGGAAACTGGTGGCCCCTCGGTCTCAGTGGCTTGTCCGCTCACATCTAAACCTTGGGGCTCAGTCTGCGACTTCTGCCCACTGTGCAGTCACGGCCGCTTCTGAGCAGTAGAAGACATCCCTGGCCTGCCGTCTGCCCTGGGAGGAGGAGACTCGGCTAGATGCCCCCTGTATGAGCATGAGCCTAGGGTCTGTTTTCATGGCTCAGCCTCTGCAATGCAGATCTTCACTCTGTGCCCAGCTCGGTATGTGCCCACTGTGCGACAGCAGTGGCTCTGGGATCTGGCATTTCTCTCTTTAAAAAGAAAGATTCATTTATTATGTATACACTGGTCCTCCAGCCTGGACACCTCCATGCCAGGAGAGGGTACCAGGTCTCATTACAGATGGCTGCGCGTTACCATGTGGTTGCTGGGAATTGAACTCAGGACCTCAGGAAGAGCAGCCAGAGCTCTTAACCTCTGAGCCATCTCTCCAGCCCCAGGATCTGGCATTTCTAGCTGATGGGCTGGGGTGATACCTCTTGGCAACCCAGGACATGGAAGGGGCAGGTGCCTGCCCATCCCAAGGGGAGTTTTTTTTTTAATTTATTTATTATGTATACAGTGTTCTGCCTGCACATTAGAAGAGGGCACCAGACCTCATTACAGATGGTTGTGAGCCACCATGTGGTTGCTGGGAATTGAACTCAGGACCTTTGGAAGAGCAGCCAGTGCTCTTAACCTCTAAGCCATCTCTCCAGCCCCCAAGGGGAGTTTTTTGTGTTTTGAGATAGGGTCCCTTTGTGTAGCCCTGGTTGTCCTAGAACTCACTTTATGGACCAGACTGACCTCGAATTCAAGAGATCCGTCTGCCTCTACCTTCCAAGGACTGGCGTTAAAGGTCACCACACCATGCCCTACTCCCAAGTTTTTAAGACAAGACTCTGTTAAGGTTGGGACTCTCCAGGCAGAGGGACAGCTTGCTCCCTGCTGTAAATGCTGAACCTGGCCTTAGTGCTGGGGAAGGGGTTGCGGGGAGGATTTCTTGTGATAAGGGCAGGGTGTGAGCAGAGGGGTCTCTAGGAGCTGGGTATAGGCTACAGGCTGAGGCATTCAATGTCAGACCAGGCAGGGGCTGCAGTGTGGACCTGGTTCGTACATTTGATACCAGAGATTTGCAGAGTAGGGTGTCCCGGCTTGGTGTGGGCTGGGCTTCCTGTTGAAAATGGACAATGGTTAATTGGTCACGTCTGGGCAGGGCAGGGGGCAGCAGTGATGGACAGCTGCATGTCCTGCACCAGGTGTGCCCTCCCCCAGCTCACTGTTGAGCCACCAGTCCTTTTGTTAGAATTTATTTATCCCTGAGCTCTGGAAAGGAGGCTGGGCCAGCAGGTGTCACAGCTGCAGTCAGCCAGGGCACTGCAGAGGATGTGCACCCATTCCAGCCTGGGCCAGTCGCTCAGTGCTTGGTGACCAGGGGAGTGATCATCTCAGGGAAGGCGTAGTAACGGCAGTCTGCTGGCGGCACCAGTGCCATCACCTCTGTGCGAATGTTCTCTCTCCGGAAGCCCGCCTCTTGCAGCGCAGGCACCTGTGTTTCCTGTAGGGAAGGGGCTCAGGTCATCCCCAGAGTGCGTGGGACAGGACGTGGGGGTGGGTGTGACGTAACTTTGGATTCTAGTCCCTGATGAGCATCATTGCACAGACCCACTGCCAGCCTCCAACAAGAGAAGAGACTCCTGGTCCTGTTGGCCCTGGTACAGCCTGCAGGTTCAGGAGAGCATCAATCTCTAAGATAAGCGTGGCCACACAAGTAGAGGGCAGTGGGTAGGGCTGCACCGGCACTGGGGATCCACGGGAAGCTTAAACTAGTGAGGGCTTTCCTCATTTCACAATGGAAAATCGCAGTGCTGCCTGACCCACTGAAGACCTCTGGCCTCTGAGGCTGGAAGAGGTCAACCACAGTCACTTCCAAGGTCACTGCTCCAGGCTTCGGGGCTATCAGGTAGTCGCACCTCAAACATGGTGGTGATGTCCGTGTACTTGGACTTCATGAGTTCCCCCCAGGATGTGAGGTTGCAGTAGGTGAGGATGCCTCCAGGCTTCAGCAAGCGGAAAGCATGGTTCTGCAAATAGAGGCCAGTGGACGGGGTAGGAACTATGGGAAGAGAGGTGTCCCTTGCCCTGCCCACCACTCCTGGCCCCATAGCCCAACCTTTATGAAGTTGAACTGGTGAGTGTGCCAGGTCTCCTCAGACAGTGGGTATGTGTCATATAAGATCCCTGCAGAGAGAACACAGGCCTGGCAGCCTCGCCCACCTCGTCTGACCCGGCCCACAGCTGCCCATTTCTGTCCTCTCTGTAGTCTGTCCCCAGTGCAGAGGACCTCTCCTTACACCACGTGTGTCCTGGGACTCCAGACTCGGGTCCTCATTCTCGACAGCAAGCCCCACCAATCTAATTATGGTGCAATAGCTGCCAAGAAGGGTCTGGGGTCAGCATTTTCCCTGGAGCTTCACCCTTTGCTGGGCTCACAGCTTTCTCACCATCAAAGTGGCCATCCGGCAGTGTAGGCGCCACCTCCTCCCATAGGCCTTTCAAGGGAACAACCTTGGAAAGAAAAGGGACAAGAAAGAAGATTGGGGGTCAAATGGCTCCCCAGGACCACCTAGCCCCGGGGTACTCCCAGTTTGCCACCCCAGTGGTACCTTGTGTGGCTGTTGCAGGGCCCAGGCTTGTAGGCGCTGGAAGACCCCATCATTGCACTCAATAATCCAGTGTTCTTCTATGGGGGCCTGTTGCACCCTGGAGGCCGCAATGGCCATACCAAAGCCCACTTCCAGGACACGACCCCCTGGGAGTACAAAACACAGGAAGGCTGCCTTGGCTGGGGGAGGGAGACATGGGAGTGGGGCCCAGCTGCCAGTCACATGCCTCAAGGACAACCAGCCAGCAGGACTATGTGGGTGGACAGAACAAATTAACACAATGGTGAGGGCCCTGGACAGCTGCCAATCAGAGTGGCTGGCCTGGGAGGCTACAGGACAAGCACAGCTCTTGTCTTGGACCTGGTCCCAGGGATCCCTGAACTCTGAGCCCCTGCCCACACTGCTGTTTGTGCTATGGCCCTTATCTGTGGGGTTAGCAAGAACAGACCTGGAGGCCTGACACCTGCAGCCCCCTTAACCCGTGTTTCATTCATCACCTGACACTAGGTCCCCATCTGCCCGGGGTGAACTTGAGGCTCATTGCCCAGCAGTTCCGGACCACAGGTCCAAGACAGCTGCCTCTCTGCTCAGTTTTCCCAAGCTATTCTTAGCCACAGTCCAGGGAGACTCCCGATCAGCCCCACGCCCCTCCACTCAGTCCCTCAGTTCCACTCAGGGCTGTGATCGGAAGACCCACCCTCCAAGCCAGCCCCGGGGAGTAGAAGTCTCTTCCCTCTGCAGAGAGGAAGTTAACAGTTGGAGGCAGGCGCCTCTTATGTGCGTCCACATTTGGCAACACCCTCCCTTCCCGGCCAAGGTGGTCCCGGGGCAGGCCCAGGTAAGGAAACTGAGGCACGAGCACGCATGGGAACTCCCGCACGCCTGAGCTGCAACCTCAGTTTCCTCGAACAGGGTACCTCTGGAGGCGGCTGTCGCCGCTAGCGCATGCATGTAGGGGGTCTCCCAACGCTCCATCACCGGCTTGCCCAGGATCTGCAGGTGCGTGTCGGACGCATCATAGGCCGCGGGAGCCGCTCGCCACGCGGGGCCGCAGTCCTCGCCGGGCGCGAAGAGCGGGCTGGCAGCGGAGGAGCTCATGGTGAGGTTCTGCACACCAGGCTGAGAGGACAAGGCGGTGGAGCGGCAGGGCTGCAGGAGGCGGGGTGGGGCGGTGCCTGTGAGTCCAGAAGGAGTTCAGTCAAGTCCTGGGACGGGGGCGGGTCCTGAGGCCCTGAGGGTGTCTCGCCAAATGAAGGAGCACGCTGGCGGGGCGAGGCCTACTGGCTAGGGCTGAGCCTGGGGAAGGAGCCCGGCCCAGGGTTGGGGTGGGTGGAGCCATCAGAAGGGGTGAGGCCTTGCTCTGGGAGGTTGTCCCTCCTACTGCCGGTCTGGGACCGGGTAGTCCGAACCTGAGGACGAGATGGAACACGCAGGCTCTGCTTGGCGGGGGGGCGGGGGGGCGGGGGCTGCTGGCTGGAAGAGTAAAGTTCTGTTAGGGGCGGATCTATGGGCTGGGGATGATCTTGCAGTGGTGGACAGGGAATGAGTCCAACCTTTTGCTATGGATGGGGCCTGTGGGCTGGGACAGAATCCAGTCTTCTGTAAGGAATGCAGGCAGGAGCCATACAGGATGGAGCCAGTGCTAGGGCAGAGTCCAGCCTTTTGCTAGGGGCGGGACCAGACCGATGGGGTGGGGTCACCCTTTTGCTAAGTATGAGGGACAGAGCTAAGAAGCGGGTCCAGCGGGCTGAGGCAGTGGTATCCAGCCTTTTGCTACGGATGGGAAAAGAGACATGGGGTAGGTGTTTATGGGATAGGATGAAATGTAGTCTTCTGCTAGTGGCCTGCTTCCACGGGTGGGGTGGGGCCTAGCCTGCTTGGGGCTAGGTAGAACTGTCCGGGCCTACTTTCAGGGCTGGGGTTGGAAGCAGGGAGTCTGGCTACTAGGGCTTTTGTCTTGGGGGCTTGGGGGGGCGGGGTTGGGTGGAGTTCAGTCTTTTGCAAAGTACAGGGCACGGTGATGGGGCGGGGCCTACGGCTCTGGGCGGGGCTTAGTTGTCTTGCCATGAAGTTGGAGACATGAGGGCCGAGGCTTACTTGCTGGGTACAGGCCAGTGCCGTGGAGGGTGTGATATGCCATTAGGTGCACGCCGAGGCTTCTGCAAGAGTGGGCCAACATCCATGGACCCATGGACATTTTGAGCAGGACCTGATTCTGCATTTGCCTAACTGGCTCACGCGGATGCTGTTTACTGTCCAGAGGCCTGTCTGGAGAAGCTGCCAAACTTGCTGATCCCAACATGTCCTCCTAGCTGCTCCTCCATGTTAATTTTTTATTTGTATTTATTTGTTTATTTAGAGATAGGAACTCACGATATAGCCCTGGCTGGCCTGAAGCTTGCTATGTAGACCAGGCTGGCCTCGAACTCACAGAGTTCTGCCTGACTCTTGGTCTGATAAGGTCTAGACATGCATTGGCCTCTCACTGCCCCTCTAATCTGCATTTGCTGCTTACAGGCTCCCTTTTACCCCTAGATCCCTTGGTCTGATCGGGGGTAGCTACATGATGACTTTTCTGAGCAATGCTGGAAGAATGTACAGAATAGTAAAACTATTAACTTTCAGAATGTGTCCGTGGTGTCTGCTGATGCCCTCATTGTACAGACAGGAAAGCTGCTGAGTGGAGATCAGAGCTCCAAGTTAGAAAACCTTGGGAGAGTGGAGATCAGGGCTCCAGGTTAGAATCCCAACAGTCTCAAAAAAAAAAAAAAAAGAAAAGAAAAGAAAAGAAACCCTGATGATCTGGCCTCTACTTTGTTTTGGGGTTTTGGAGGTTTTGTTTTTGATTTTTGATTTTTTTTTTAATGTGTGCAGGTATTGTGTCTGCATGCCACCGCTGTGCAGTATGTAGGTGTGGGGTCTGTTATTCTGTGCATCCTCTGTGTGCCGTGCCCAGGGAGGTCTGAAAAGGGCACCACACCCCCTGAAGCTCAGTTACTGGCAGTTGGAAGGCCCCAAATGGGTGCTTGGGATCAAACTCTGCCCTCTGGGAGAGCAGCCAGTGCTCTGAGAGGAGAAGAGATGATCTCGCCAGCCCCTGCCTTTTGTTTTTTTAAACAGGTTCTCCTGTGCCTCAGGAGGGCCTTGAGCTCCCACACAGCCAAGCATGGCCAAGGCTGTCCTACCTCCCCAGAGCCAGGATCACCAGTGTGTCCTGCCGTGCCGGTATCTGCAGTGCTCACTCAGAGTCTGGGCTTTGTGCTGCTGGCCAGCAGAGTGCTCTCCCCCACTGCACTGCAGCCCCAGCCCCACACCGGCCTCCACACTCCACTACTGTGAGTGGTCCTTCTGATGACCTCGTGTGGTCTAATTAAAACACGACATGGGAAGCTTTGTAGTGCCAGCACTCCAGACTCTTAGGCTGTGAGCTCCAGTTCAACCAGAGCTACACGGGGAGACTCTGTCTCCAAACAAAAACTTTGGCCTGGTGCGCCTTTAATGATGGGAGACAGAGGCAGGTGGATCTCTGTGAGTTTGAGACCAACCTGGGAGTTCCATCTTTTGCTTCAGTCAGTTTATGGTGTGAGCTGCTGCACCCAGCTCTGGAAATGAATTGTTGTTTGTTTGTTTTGTTTTGTTTATTGATACAGGACCTCACAATGCAGACCAGATCACCCTCAGATCAGGCTGGCCTCGAACTTACAGAGATCTGCCTACTTTCCTACCTACCTTGCTGGGAAGACCCGTGATTCTGGGGATGGAGCCCAGGGCTTAGTGACTACTAGAAGAACTCTCTTCCTGCTGAGCCCTAGCCCCAGTATCTAGTCTCTAAACAATGTATTAGTTTAAAGGGCTCACGCCTGGTCCTTCTAGCCACATCCTGTGCCTTGTGTCCCCCCCAGTCTCCTGTGCTATTCATTCACCCAATCCTCACAGGATGACAATACTCTCTTTTGGACCCAAGGCATCACTCAGCATATGAAAGTGCTTGCCTTTAGGCCTCACAACCCGAGTTCCATCTCTTGCATGTTTTCCTCTGACCTCTACATGTAGGGTCATGGCATGCTTTGAAAAGTCGTGTTTTTTTGTTTTTGGGGGCTTGTTTCGTTTTGTTTTTTGAGATTGGGTCGCAGTTTGCAGCTCTGGCCTCCCTGGAGCTGCTGATCAGTGTTGGGGTGACCCGACACCCAGATACCATTCTATTTGTTTGTTTCAAGACAGGATTTCTCTGTGTAGCCCTGGCCATCCTGGAACTCAGAGATCTGCCTGCCTCTGCCTCCCAAGTGCTGAGATTATTAAAGGTGTAATCACCATGCTGTGCTAGCTTCAAATGTTTTAATGTCGGCCTGTGAGTATTTGGGGGCACCTTCATGCACAGGGATAGCTGGCACGGGGGCAGGATAACAAGACAATCTGTTCATGTGGAACTGTGAAGAGTCTATAAGAATATATAGGCGGGGCAGTCATGGTAACATGTCTTTGGTCTCAGCACTCAGAGGCAGGGGCAGGTAGATCTTTGTGAGTTCCAAACTAGCCAGACCTACTTAGTTAAACCTTTTCTTTAAAAAAAAAAAAAAGCCAGGTGTATTGGCACATCCCTTTAATCCCAGCACTAGGGTGGTAGAGACAGGCAGATCTCTGAGTTCAGAATAAGTTGGTCTACAGATCAAGTTCCAGAAAAACCCTGTCTTGCCAAGGGTGGGGGCAGGCAATCTATGGATTGTTAAGAACAGTGACTCAGAGCTCCAACCCCACCTTGTATTAGGGTCCTGCTTCCCCTGCATTTTGCATCCCCCACACAGAGTCAGGCCCTCCTCAAAATTGTTATTACTCTGTTTTGTAATCCAAGAGAAGCTGCCACCTGGGGCCACTCTTTCGTGCCTGGGGTATTTTCCATCTGGGTACTTACAAATTACCATCATCTGGCTTCACAAACAGCACTGTGGGCCATGTGAGGCATTTATTTTTTGATTTTGTTGTTGTTTGAGAATGTTTCATGTAGATCAGGCTGGCCTCAAGCTCACTATGTAGCTGAGAATAACCTTGAATTCCATCTTGCAGACTTGCATTGTCGTGCCTGGTTTATACAGTGCTGGGGATAGAACCCAGGCCTTGGTCAGTCTGAACAGGTGCTCTACAACCTGAACCACCACCACCTCCTTTTGTTTATTTGCTTATTTATTGTATTGTTGTTGTTATTATCATATACATTTTTGAGACAGGGTCTTACTTTGTAAGGCTGGATGCCTTTTCTTCTCATTATAGTCTTTTTGAGGTGGGTATTATTATTACTAGTATTATTATTTACCTTTTTGACATAGGGTCTCACTTTGTAGTAGCTGGACTAGAACTCACTTTGAGTAGAGATAGACTATCCTAATGAGAAGATAACCAACAGACAATAGACAATAGTGAAAGAGTTTGTCTGCCCATGTTAGTGGTACTGGGGGACACTGATATTTTTTCATAGCCAGTGAACTTGGTTAACTTTTACTTTGACCCAATCGGGCCTTAACTGAATGACCTTGGACAGGTGAGTCAGCCTCTGTCACCCTCTGTGTCGTCTTCTGGGAAAAGGGAACACCGGAAAGTGACACATATCTTAACGTGAACGTGCAGCCTGTGTTCTACATCGAGCCCTGAGGGGCGGACACAGACTTTATTTCTCGCAGGCTCCCACGCAAGACCGAGTTTCGCGAGTGGAGAAAAGGGAACCTGCAATTGCGCCTGCCCGCGCCATGCACGCCCCGGCGCGACCGGCACGTGCACCCGCACGCACGCACGTGGCTGGCGCCCTCCGCGCGCCTTCTGAAAGCCAGAGACCGCGGAGGACTACATTTCCCAGAAGGCTTAGAGTCGGGGGCGGAAGCGCGTGGCTCGGCTGTACCTGTGGCGCCGGCGCAGAGCCCTGTATTCTTCCTTCTCAAGCAGGCACGCCCGGGCGCGCTCCCGCACGGGGCCTCCTGGGGCGGAGCCAGGGGCGCGCTGCGCGTGCGTGCCTG